GGGTGTTCGGCATCTTGTGCTTACTTCCTTGCATACGGATGACAGCCGCGTATCACTAAATTTATTTTCTGGTGCTTTCACTTCCAGAGACAGTTGTAAGCACTGTGTAACTGCCTCGGGGGTGCTTGACCATTTCAACACAACGTGGTGCGATCATCCCCCTTGCGCGGAGTGAGGCTTCTCCACCCCGCACAACATGATCTACTCGACCACCATTGTGGTTACCGCCAAAAGAAAACAGAGGGAAAAAAAAAAAACGGTAACCTGGTTGCCGAGTTCACGAAGCGAATTGGCTTGTTTTACAACATCGTTGCAAAGCGACGACAACCCAACCCCGATGGCAAACACCGGCGGGGGGAAGAGAGGGGGCAGCATGGGGGAGGCTAAACATCCTTCGGATCAAAGAAAGAAACAACAGCAACAGAAGAAAACTGGACGCGTCTACCAAGGCTATTACCATGTACTCCAGTTCGTTTAGGAGTAATTTCACCATTATCCTCCTTGTTTTCGCTACCATCATTCTGATCCTCATTTTGACAAGAATCTCTGGGCAGTTCTTCTCTAGCCCTACGTTTTTTGTTTTGGGGGTGGTCATCTGGCTCAAACCCTTTGCTCTCTTCCACTTGTCCATGTTTTCCTCCTCCATCGTCGTCTCCGTCCTTCTTTCTTCCCTTTCCCTTTCCTTTGTCTCCGTCACTCTCAAAAGAATTACCCCCATAACTATCGTTGTCGCAGAGATCCCAACCGATTGGCACTGGTGGAAGTTGGTCGATCAGTAGCCCATGACGTTTGAACACATCGCGAGTTCGCATCGACAGAAAACGAGCTGGCTCGAAGGTGTGTGTGTGTGTGTGTGTGTGTGTGTGTGTGTGTGTTTTGTTTAATCGACCGTGCTACATAACCGCCTGACCAATGAGAATGCGTCGGTGTCTGTGCGATTGAAAACAGAAAATGCTTCTTAAGGCCATGATCTGCGACCCCGGAGGGAGCGTCATGCGGGTGTGTGTGCGCTTGCAGAAACGTCTCCCCGAGGTTGTACCAGACAGGCTTACTTGCGTAAGTAAATGCTCGCGCGAACCGGAGTAGTGTGTAGAGGGGGCCAACAAAAAAAAGGGGGTTATCGTGGTTGCTGGAAAAGGAACAACCACCATTAAGGTTGCGGGAGATTTGTCTGCCAACGAGTGCAGTAGGAAGCCGTGCTGGTCTATATCAGCACACGTAGGATGCCACCGACAGCAAGACGTGCCTGTTGCCACGCCCAGCGCAACGCTTGGCAATGAAACGCCGGGCTAACGGCGCGCGATGCTGGTTGGCACCGGGGGTCAAAACTACCAACCAGACCACGTTTCTAGCTTCACAACCCAGCTTGTGGTTCTCTGGCCTTACCTTGAGGTGGGGCCCGACAAACCGGAACTCGCCGCAGGTGTCCGTTAAAACTTCGATTGCAACGTCCACCTGCGCAGGGACAGCAGCGGGGCATTTTTTGGGTGGACGGGGGGGGCAGACAGGGGAGATCGTTATTGGGACAGCTGCTTCAGGAGACAAGAGGTCAAGCAGATTGGCGAAGCCGCACAAGCTCGAATGAACGCTCCTTTTCTCGGTGAAAATGCATCGACGTGTAATGTCAAAGTAGTAGCAACAAGCTTTTTTTGCGAAGGCTGCTGACATCTAGACCAACGCTGACTCTCTCAACATGGTACATCAAAGGGCTGTGGACAGGCTAAAAAGGCCTCACGGTCTTGGTCATTCATGGCCTAGCGAACAACATAAACACACGAAAGGCCTATCATGCATCGATCCTTCCGCGTCATCAACGGGCTTTTCAGATCCCTTTTTTTAATCTTCGACTCCTGCTTCCCCCTCCCCTGAGCAGCTGCTTCTCACAGACGAAACCGCCTTGCAACTAGCAGACTAGAGCGGAATCTCCCGCTCGCGCCTGCCCCACCCCCCACAGGAACAAACTTCGAAGCCTATCCACAACGCACCTCCACCAAGCGGATGTTAGACGTGTTGTAAAGCTCTGGCCAGATCTCTTGCATTCCCGGGTAGAACACCCGCGAGCACGCGCGCCCACTGGGCCCGACCTAACGCAGGGACACACAAAACACAGCAGTTAAGCGCCCGCGAGAAACCGTCAATTTGGGGTCCAGGCTCCAGTTCTTATTTCGTCACCACCACCGTCGATCACACCATACAGCAGCTCATTCTTAGGATCAGGATAGCAGTGTGGGATCAACTTGTAACGTCCGCGTGTGCATTCAATAGTGTGGTGTAAGATCAACTTCTGAGGTCGGCGTGCTTCTTAGTAGATTTTCTTACGGATCGCCAAAACCTGAGCCCTTTTCTTCTCTCAAAAGCCTGTTTCTTAATCGCGGGCGTTGCAATAACTGTGACGCGGGTATGACCAAAGTGAGGAGGCCGCGGCAGTTGGCAGCAGAATCGAAGCTTTTGCGTCGCCGACGGTTTTGGTTCTGAAAGCTTCCCCGATATAACGCAGTCACTGTTGTCGCTCACTACAGCCGCGATGTGTCGGGACTACACCTACATAGGGGTGTTGAGTAGAACCCGTGCCAAGTCAGACGCAGCCGACTGATGCTGCCAAGCTCAGCGCTGGATGGGACCCCCCAAAGCCTCGTTGCCACCCCTCCGACAACCGTAGGTGACACAAGATACCACACCCCCTGAAGCTGTTTTCAAAGCTCAATTTATCCACAAGAGATTCTATGGCACCGCCGAAAATGGCGGCGTTGAAGCCGTCTTGTCGAGAGCTTTCCGACGTCGTGTCGATTCGTTTAAGCGTCCTCTTCATCGTTCAGTAATCGAGCTTTGAAGATTGGTCCAGGGGGTGTGTTATCTTGTGTCGAATACGGTATGTATCTCACCTCGATGGGGCTGGTGACGCAAGCGATCTGATGGACCGCATCCACTCCGAAGATCGCCGTAACGCACAGGCCGCGGAGGTCGTGGCCAGTTTTCTCGAGACCCGTAAATTCGATGAGGCTTTCGCGAACATCGGTGGAGGAGGCCGTGATCGGGGTCAGGCTGTTTCCGATCCTGGCGATTGGACGGCCTTCCAAGTCACACTCCTACTTGAAGGGCGTGGGGGCCGGGAAAAGGCTGGAATGAGGAGGACAAATAATTGTTGTTGTCTTCACATCAAAACCCGTCCTCAGTACCTTTTAGTATCCGTACTGAACCAACCAACTGACGCGCACGCCTTCCATGGTCACAAGCCCCCGTACACATTCTTGAAATCAAAGAACGGAAAAAAACGGACCCAGAGAAAATCCTTCAAATAGTAGTTGGACACAAAAAAAGTCACGAAGAAAACATAAGTTGTTGCTTCGTGACTGTTGAGGTATGACCAAGCGTTGTGGGGGAAGGAGTGGGGAAAGAGGTCTAGGTTGATCGCCACCTTATCTTGGCTCTACCGGGCGTGTTCGGAATCCGAAAAGGACAACATGTACCACAGGAAAATAAACGTCGATGGCTACAAATCGATTGAAAATATAGGCAACAAATTTAAAGGAGAACTTTCATGCCGCAGGAACGGGCTTAGGGTTTGGTGAATGACTCATGCGCCGCAAGCAAAGCAACCCATACGGCGAACCCGGAACCCATGGGGAGGGACGGCGTTCAATGTGAATCCCTCGTCAGGGGAGCGAGTGCAAAAGGATGAACAAACAAACAAAAAAACTGACGTACGTCCTGGAACCTCTCTAACGACATGGCTTCGGAGAGAGACGCCCGCGTTACGTTCCAAAACTCCCGACACATCTCGGCAATGCCGCTTTCCCAGCTTCGGATGTCGACCACTGGGAAGCAATGGAGTGGTGTGGGACGCAGATATTATCAATCGTGCGTATGCGCGCGCTCGTGGGTTGTCGTATGCGTACACGCGGTCACAGCGACGTTTTGTTCACGAAAGTATGCACAGGCAAACATATTAATACTACCCGTTCTAGACACAAACTACACTGGGAAGCAATGGAGTGGTGTGGGACGCAGATATTATTAATCATGCGTATGCGCGCGCTCGTGGGGTATCGTATGCGTACACGCGGTCACCGCAACGTATTTTTAACGAACGTATGCGTATGCAAACATAGAAACACTACCCATTCCCGACACAAACCACAGTCGAAAGGGATGCGCTCAAGTACTGCTGAGGATGCCAAGCCGGCACCGCCGCCCCTGCTCCCCACACTCACTTTCCGAGAGACCTCTACCACAACGTCCCCCATCGGCAGCCTGCCGCAGTCGCCCACCAGCTCCGCGTCCCAGGAGCACTCCGGCGTAGACGACAGCGAGTCTCCGCCTATGGCCATGCCGCCCGACCCGTCACCCGAACCGTCACCACCATCCCCGCACCCGACCAGCCCCAAGCCGAGCGGCGGCATCTCCAACGGGGGCTCCGCGGCATCGGACGACGGCCTCTTGCCGGACCCCGTGACGAGCGCCCCGACGTGCTGGTTCGCTCGGTAGAGGTGCTGCGGGTACTGCTGGAAGAGGTGCCGCCGCTGCGGAATTGGATCCTTTGCAGCCGGGCCTTCGGCTCCGCCCATCGTCCCCACCGACCCCGCATACTTGACGCTGCCTGGAGCAAACGACAATAGAGCGCAGCAGTGTCGATGACGGAATCATCGAACAAGAAGGAAGCAGTTCGGTTGGCTGGCGGCTGGTCATGTTTGTGCGTCTACAGCTGTAGGTGTTGGGGTCCCTGGGGCAAGGTATCACCGGTCCCACAACAAACCAGGGCGGAAAAAATGCAACAGCAGCGCCCCACAGATTCCTATGACACGTCGTTCTGACGGGGACCATCTGCGCATGCGGACGGCATCGAACGGTGACGCACGAGTAAACGTCCCCTGTATTGTCAATTATTTTCCATTTCTTCCCTGAATATAGGTGTTGGGTGTGTGTGATGACGTCACTGGTTTTGTAGATAGACGCGGCAGAGATGGCGCGGATAACCTGGGTGCCGTAATTGTGTACCTGCATCGTGTAATACCCCTTCAGTGTGGAACGATTCCTACAGTCAGTGTCGATGTTTACACTGCTGTGTCTAACACAGATGATCTTGATAGGTTTGGGTGATTGTCAATTGCAATGATGGCTTTGGTTGGGTGTTCGTCTTCATTGCGCCTCCACTCAAGCACTCAGGAGCAAAGAAATTGAGTCTCAAAAAGAACAAAATCGAAGAACTTCAGCACCATTTGTGAGCTCCGTTAATAAGAACCCCTAATTAAACTGAAAAACGTACGGCAACCATTCGCAGCATGACCCAAGTAACTAAGATTCCCTGCCTCGGCCGAACCTATAATAGAGCTTGTGGCGTGTTCTGTACCTGCTGTATACTGCTCTGTCGGAAAACACGGCGTCAAATACAGCCCAACGGCAAATGGAGTGAGAGGTTGGCTGTGGAGCGACTGTATGTGTGTGCGCGCGCGGGGCATGAGAGGGGGAAGGGCAAAGAAAGCTCGGACCAAGACAGAGCCGAGCGGAGAATCAAATGCAGTCCAAATCCAACTAAAAGGGGCGGGAGAAGTGGCGGCCTGTGAGAGCCCGAAAAGTTGGAATGCTGGTCTGTCAGGGTGGGTCTTATCAAAAAAAGTGCAGAATCAAAAAATCGAAAAAAATGGATTTGTATTTTTGATTTCGTGGTTTGGGTCTACGCAAATACCGCCGCCGCTAAAAAAAAACAAAGGAATCGCGGCGAAATATCGAACAGACCGCGCGCGCACATTGCGGTTGTGCGGTTGTGCGGCTGTTCACTGAAGCTGGTGCTGCCGCCCGCTGCACACGGTACCAGGCACACGACGAGACGCAGGGCCACTACTCCCGATGACGGTGGTACGGCCTCGCACTGGAGTGGGTGCACGCCGTACCGCCGTGGCGCGCCGCAACACACGGGTGCAAATCGTGACAGCAGCTGCTCTCTGGTGCCTCGCGGCGACGACAGCGGTGGCTTGTGCGTTCCAAGTCGTCCACACTCGGCGTGGAGCATGCGTGAGAAGGAGCCGGCAGGACTGGGAGGAGTTCATCAAAGCTTTAGAGCAGGATCGGTCGTTCAAGACGCGGTATCGTTTGAGCCCGAAGTAGTTCAAGGGGCTGTACGAGATGCTGCGGGGACGTCTTGAGTGCCATAGCCCCAAACGGCGTGGCCACACCGGCACCATAGCTGGGGAGTGTGCGCTAGCTAGCACGTTGCGGTGGCTCGCAGGGCACGGCGTCAGCGCTGCGGCTGATGGTCCCCACATGGCCACGAGCACAGCATTTTCGAATATCAAGAAAGGGCTGGATGTCATCAACGACTGTGGGAGGCTTCGGATAAAGTGGGCGAGAACGGAGGGGGAGCTGCAAGCGAAGGCGCGGGGGTTTGCTGCTCGGAGTTCCCAACTTGACCCTGTCCTGAAGTGCTGTGTGGGAGCATTGGATGGACTCCTTGTGCGACGCAAGAGCCTAGCATCACCGAACATCCGTGTCCAGATCGATTCTATTCAGGGCACAAGATGATAGTGGGCATGAACTACCAGGTGCGACAACTACATGGTTCGAACCTAGTTTGCAGTAGACTGTACACCAGTCAACAGCAGACTACCCGCACGAAATAACGGCTGTACTGCTGTTTGGGTTGTGCTGTTGAGGTGCATCGAAATGTGTAAAACAATCCCCTTTCCTCCTTAACCCACTGCAGGACACCATTGGGGAACACAAACAAGCCATGACACCCGCCCCTGCCATCACACACTTCCGTGAAGACAGAGTACGTTGGACATCGACGAACATGTAAAAAAAACGGTCTCTCCCTCTTTTCTGTGGGAAGGGGCACACGATGAACCCTGTTTGAAAGTTGACTTTCACTTGGACTGCTGTTCATGAACCAGCAGAAGTGCACACGCGCCTACCGTATGCACCACGGGACTTTGAGTTGTGCGGACGGCGTAGGTGGAGGATGCGAAAAAGATATAGATTCGCTCCTGCTCTTGAGACCGCGGCGGCAGTGATGTAGGACAGCCGCGCACCTGCCGTTCGAGAAACATAAATGAAATGCTGCCGAGAGGCCCATCTTGGGTTTAAAGACTGCACACGGCTCTCGGAATTTAAAAGATCGGAAATAACGAGAAACAGGCCTACCCGGGGCCAAAACAACAAGATTTCGGGTACGCCGATCTTGAGCGTATCCACCCACTTTCCTACGCTCACGGCAGTGACGCAGCACCTCCCAACAGGCTCAAATCACGCAGGTGTGTTGGTTTAGTATATGGTTAGGGCCACGGTCAGATTAGAAACGCGGGTGACCGGCATGAGACTGGATTCAGCCGTAAGCCGAAGTGTGCGCGGCCTTCAAGAAATCGGCAACATGCTCGAGAGGAGGCACACGGGTGATGCATGTCACCAGAAACGGGTACAAAAGTAACCACGGACGGGTACCACGGTAACCAGAAACGGGTTCTCCGCATACTCAGTTCCCGTCGGATCAACCCAGTTATATCTGACCAAAACCGGGTACCCTGTAGGATTTTTTACTTGAAAAGAGAATACTGTTCCCAGAAATGGTCAGTACTGTACCGGGTATACCCGTATTTGGTTAGCTAAGTTACAAGATTCCTTGGATGCCCCCCCCCGGTATATATACATGTGTTGTACATGTATATGTGTGTGTTTCCCGAATCAGGTGATCTGCGACGCGGACTACATCGTCACTGCCGCTTGCTGCAACAACCCGGGAAGCACCAACGATCGGCAGGCATACAAGGAGGCCGAGTTCGACCAGCTTGTCGAGGGTCTTCCAGGCGACTACTATGTCGTGGGAGATGCGGCATAAGGGGCAACGGACAAGATGTTTGTGCCGTACCTAGGATGCGACCTCGACGCAGACCAAGACGCCTTCAACTGCTTCCAGTCGCAAGGGCACATACGCATCGAGCAGACGTTTGGGATCATGTGAGTGTTGGCGTAGGTACTTCATGGGCATATCACGGGATCATGAGCCTATTCGCGAATGGTACTGCATGCACGATTGGTGACAGATTCAGCTGAGTCATGATATTTTATTGTTAGCACGAGAACAAAGTTTACAAAGTGTATCGGGAGATATCGCACAAACATTGCTGTAAAGTAGAGAGGTGACTGTGAAATCGCGGGATTACTTCATGCCTGAACGCCCCCCCACTCCCCGCCCTCCCCCTACATGTTGCAGATGAAGCAGTGGCCCATTCTGTGGAGCCCGCTGCAGGTCCCTCACACCGCGAGCGTTGTTCACGCGAGAACTCGACTTCACAACTACCTCCGAAGGTGTCGTTCTGAACCGCCACCTGCCATCGCACCGCGAGCGTTGTGCACGCGAGAACTCGACTTCACAACTACCTCCGAAGGTGTCGTTCTGAACCGCCACCTGCCACCGCCCGGTACTTGCATGAAAACGGAACCATCGGGAGCAACCGCTGGGCAACACCATTGTCGAGACGGCCCCCGGCGGCCTGTTCTCAGACTCGCGAGAACATCAGGGAGGACATTCGGAATTGAACTCTCATGCGGCCGGCGGAAA